TCTCTTCGTCGTGAGCGGACGTTGTCGGAGCATCGCGAGAGACGTTTCCGCCCGGGACTGCCGGTGGAATTTCGCGATTCAACGAGACGGACGAATTCGAGTCGCGAGTCGCAGCGAGCCGTCGCGGTCGCGACGATGACTCGAGGGATTCGCACTTGGACGGACGATTAACGAAAGAGGACGTCCTCTGAGTGTCCTCGCTCGTGCGAAACGTTCATGAGAAAGATTCGCCGCCGAGTTCCTTCGCTCGAGATGCACCAGTCGCAGATGCGATCGCGAGGGGTAATTGAACGGTTAAGCCATTAATGCCGGCTGGGACGGAAATTTCGCGTTGATTTCGATGTTATGAATTTTTATGAAAACGCTCGAAAATTTTAATCCAAAGTACATTACCAGGGGTTTTCGAGGTCGCTCTTTCCGAATCCGCTGTGAGAATCATTAAAAAATGAGTGTTCGTATTGGTTTGTAACGGTCCTTTTTCCAAAAAATGCGACTTTTTCTCGTCAATTTTTTTTTAAATCATGGATTTCAACTTGATAAAAATGTTGAATATTACTGAAAAGTACTCCAATCGAGTCCTCGAGACTTGTACTTGAAATATATGTGGTTCTGAAATTTTTTGCAATTTAGTAATTTCAATATGGCGACCATATGCATATATCACCATAGAGTGATCCTTGCCGGATCCTTGGGAACTCGGTCGAATAACTCGTTATGAGTGCATTTTTATAAACAATTATTCAAAATAAAAATTGTCCTGTTGATTGAGTTTCTTCACGTGGTAGGCCCCAAATTTGGGTCCGATGTACTTTTTGGACCTAACGGGGCTCAACGTTGATTTTTTGGTGCAAAACTTATATTTTTATTACAGATTTGAAAAGTACAGAAAATTTTACGCCCAGATATGTATTTTTGAAATTACAAGTCTCGAGGACACGATTGGAGTACTTTTCAGTAATATTCAACATTTTTATCAAGATGAAATTCATGATTTAAAAAAAAATTGACGGGAAAAAATCGCATTTTTTGAAAAAAAAAAAAAACCGTTACAAATCAATACAAACACTCATTTTTTTATGATTCTCGCAGCGGATTCAGAAAGAACGACCTCGAAAACCGCTAGTAATGATGTACTTTGGATTAAAATTTTCGAGCATTTTCATCAAAATTCATAACATTGAAATCAACGCGAAATTTCTGTCCCAGCCGGCATTAATGGGTTAATATCGGGGGGTTCGCGCGGACGAGCGAAATGCTCCGCTCGAGGATCTGCGAGGGGGAGCAGCGCCGCGGGCGGGGGGTATTTCGCCAGAACAGTTTGCGACTCGCTGGGAAAAAAGAAAAACAGTGCTCTATTTTCGGACGCAACATAGCGACGTAGAGGAAGCCGACGACAAAAAGAGAGTACACGACTCGCGGTGCCGAATTTTTATCTACACCAGTGGATTCCCCGATCAGCCCGTGCATATTCGACTCGCATATTTCCGCGAAATTGGCATCGCCCGTTATTCCCCGTCGCGTTGGTGGCGAAAGCTCGAATTCAAATTCCGCCAGAGGTGGAGTTGAACCGACGATCTCAATGGGAGATCGATGGTTCATCGTCCGCTCGCGGCGAAGCTTAATTCGCGCAAGAGCTGTTTACCCTCCCCCCCCCCTCGCTCACAACTGAGAATCGACCCGGTTGGTGGGTGCATCCATAGCTACGCCGATATTTCGATAAATTCTCGTTAAATGGATTCCGATAAACCGGCGACGGAGTAAGCGGCGCAGCGGCGAGCTGTCTTTGAAAGAAAAGGAAACGAAGAGCCGCGAAAGAGTCCGTATAAAATTTGGCGACACCGTTACGCGGCGATCCGAGAAGCCCCAACGGGGCGCCCCTCCATCATGCGCTCGTGTATTTGTGCGGAAAAAAAAAAACCCCCCCAGAACCTCTTTCTCTCGCAAGTTGGCTAATCGCCGGCTCCAAATCGTTCATTATTCTCGATTCATTGCCGATTATCACCGAATCATCATGACGATACGACAATCGTGGAAATATCGCGACGTCGTTAACGGCCCTCCTCGAAACTACGAAAACCGAATTTGCGCGTCGCAAATACCGGAAGTATTTGCGATTTTGTCATTATTATTACGTTCCATTTCTGCCACGCGTTACTAAATTTCTACATTTCTGCCGTCGACTGCCCCCGTTATGTCTCCCAATATTTCAAAACGCTCCGACGAGGGACGGCTACTGCGCGCACGTCGCGCTACAACGCGATCAAATGTCCGGGTAAGATGGCGGGATATTAAGTATCGACCTGTTTCTCGATATTGTCCCGAGAACCGCAAAGACTTAATATACACGTTGTATCGCGGAGCCAGGTCGCCTTTCCAACGATCGGAGCCGCGGAGGCGAGAGAAAAAACCTTCTCTCTCTCTCTCTCTCTCTCTCTCTCTCTCCCCCTCTCCCTCTCTTTCTCTCCCTCGCTGAAACGAGCCGGTGCGCACTGCTCACAGTCGATCAACCGTGAAAAGCCCTCCCCGTCGAAGAGCAGAGTGCAATCGTGCGGTAACGAGGCTGATTGCACTCTTGAAAGCCGGCGCGGCGCGAACAGATCCGCGGCTTGTCTAATTTGTCGTCGCGCGCGACGTGACAATTCATCGAATGCGCGCCCCCGAGATGCGCCCGCGACTTCAAAGGACGAATGCGACGTGAGCGAACGGACGATCGCCGCGAGATGATGAAATCGCGAGATCGCGGTCGATGGATAAAAATGCGAACGCGCCGCCCGCTTGTTCATTTTCACTTCAAGCGCAAACGCAAAGTTCCGCATAGCGAGAGAGAGAGAGAGAGGGAGAGAGAGAAAAGAATATGTATATTACGGTCCCTCTCTCCTCGGCATCTCGATTATTTATCTTATTTATTTATTAATGATACACGGCTGACCTCTTTGATGTACAGAGATCGACAATAGCACAACGAGTAAGAAAATTCTCATACAATAAAAAGGGAAAAGGAAGTAAAAAAAAAAAAAGGAAAAAGGAAGAGAGGAAATAAAAAGAAATAAGAGAGAACAGAAGGAAAAAAAAAGTTAATAAAATGAATTAAATAAATGTTTCTTTGATATTCCAACAAAGGAGTAGAGACAATAAGCGCACGAGATTGATCAACGCTGATAAATTGCAACGATACTTGTTGCAAAAGCGACTCTCCCGACTACGAACGTTTCAGTCAAGAAGGGGGAGGGGTGGTATTTAAGCGCTGGTTAAAATCGAGGGAGGATATATCGTGTGCTTGGATCTCCTTCGCATTTGCCGCGCGGTTTTCGAGCGATGCGCGAAGGAAGTTTGATCGATGTTTCATCGCTTCTCTCGCCCACGCGCCTCTCTCTCTCTCTCTCTCTCCCTTGAGCGATGCGCTTAAATTAAATACGCAGAGCGGATGCGATATTTTCAAACAGCGATGTGTTGCCGCATATCGCTGCGCGGCATCAGCAACATTGTTCCTCTAGTCGTAAACGCTCGGTAATGCCGTCGAGGAAAAAAAAGCAACGACGCTTATCAATGTCAACGCGATAAATTCATACGGATGTTTAACATGATTACAATATATATATATATATATATCGTCGCTGGTAATCCAGAGTCATTAACGACACTCGCTCGCGAGTGTTGGTCGAGCGAACACAGGAGGAGGAAGAAAACAAGAGAGGGGAAAAGCCCAGGCAAGCAATATTCCCGAAGCGGAGTCTCGCGTGACCGTCGTAATAATTCAATGAGAACCAAGCGCGCGTTCGCGCTTGGTAGCGCAGAAAAGCGCGGAAAAACGCGAAAAAACGCGGTAAAACGCAGAAAAACTGAGAAGAGAAAAAACTGAGGCTCCCGTCTTGCGAGCGATTTTTCAGCGGTGTGCAAAACACCGAGCGGCGCGTCGTCTGACTTTCTCGCCTGGGACTTTCCGAAAAGGCAGAAGAGCCGAGCGACGCGACGTAAACACGACGCGGCGCGGCGCGGCGCGCTCGGAAAAAGGAGCGCCAAGGCGCTCAAACTCGGAAACACGTGCGTGCGCGGTGCGGTGCGGCCATCGCGGTGCATCGCCGGCCTCCGGCGACGAAAAGACCGTGACCAGGTCACGGTGTTCCCGCGTCCCGCGATCACGCGGGTCGACCGGTTCGGAGCGCGACGTTAACTCCCCGCCCATTGAACGGTTCTCGCATACCACACCAAAGTGACACCGCGAGCGCGTCGTGGACGAAGAATGCGAGAGAGATGGTCCCTTCTTATCATCCGGCCGCTCTCGGCCAAATTCTTTCGTTCATCGCGCGCGATCAATTCCCATCCGCGAGCCAGTCTCCGTCCAAGGAGGGTCTGCCATGTTCAAACGTTCTCGTCCGATCGCTACCTGTGCGGCACCTGTGCGCGACTCTACAGCGCCAGGCGCTCCGAAGGCTCGCAATCACGAATAACGTGTTAATTCGGTGCAAAGATAACAGTCGGTTCTCGATGCTGAAGGATTATTCCCGCCGCTGACCGTATCGGTTAGCCCAAGCTCGCTTCGTCGTGTGCATTTTGTGTAAAGCGACACGCGCCGGGCGACTCGTTATCGTCGCCCGAGTATATCATTACTTTATCGCCACTGAAACGACCGCGATTACCGAAAGCGAGACGATAATATTTTTCCCGAGGCGAAGCTCGGCCGGCGCGGCGCGGCGAGCGGCGCGACGACGTTTTACCGCATTTTTCAAGAACCTGAACGCAGCTCCGAGTCGCAGGGCGCGCGGAAGGCGCGCCGACTGACAGCGGCGCCGGCGACAGGGCGGCGACACCGGGCGTTCCACGAGGGTGGATTTCCACGAGGGCACGCTGATAAGACCGGCGATCGATAAAGAACCGCGCGGCGGCGCGGCGTGCTGTCGGGGAAAAGCGCCGGGAAATTCGCGAGAGCCTGGCTCTCTCACGGCGGCCGAACGAGAAAAAGGATACTTGTGTGTGTGTGTGTGTGTATCGGTCTCACTCACCGCTTGGAATTGCTCCAACAGCTCCTGCCGGTCGTCGATCGTGGTGGCCATGTTGTCCGAATATGTGATCCTTTGCGTCTTTCCTTTCTCCGCGGCAACCCGGTACCTGTCTCTCCGCCGATCCTGCGGCTCTCCTTCTCTTCCTCTCTCTCTCTTTCTCTCTCTCCCACTCCCTTTCTCTCTCTCTCTCTCCTTCCCTTCGATCCGCCTGCTTGTCCTTCTCGGCCGGGCGACTCTTGTGCGTCGTATAACGCCGTGACACAATGCGGCGCGCAACGTGCGGCACTTCTCGTCTGCGAGGACGATGTTCTTCTCTTTCTCACTCGGTGGCGAACGCCGAACTACGCGCGCTACTACGTCACGTTCGTTCGGCGGGAACGCTCGCACTGTGTCCCTCCTTGAGAGAGAAACAAAGTCTCTGGGCTGCCGCACGAGACGCAGGATCGTCAGCCGGTCTCTACCAACGTACACGACAACGTCCCTCCCACTTCGAGTCGCAGCGAACACTGAGGGAACGGTGCGCGCGGTGCGCCAAACACCGCGCGCGCCACCGAGCCCGACCGCCGCCGAAAACGTCCGAATTCGCACGACGCGCCGCGCCGCGCCGCGCCGTGCCGCCCCGAAGTACGCCGAATTCCACCTACGAAGTGTGCGTCTGCCGGTAAAATGAAGCATCGATTATCGCGGCCGAGATCGATAGGTCTTTATTATTGCGCTGCCTCACAGTGGGGCCAGATGACATTTTTTGGTTGAAAGTTCTCTAGAGGCCTGAATTTCCAACCGATCATCGATGTGGATGAGGTGGATCCTGAATAAATTCCAAAGAGATCTATCTAGCGGAAATCTTGAAAAAATTATCGGTTCAGGGTTCGTGGGTTTAGGGCTTGTCTGAAAAGTTTCGAGGCTCGAACTTAATGTTTTGTAGCTGAATATTCAACGTCGCGTGTTATTAGGTTCTCCAGCTATGGCTAGATTGGGTTCTTGGACTATTTGGGGCTCTTAATATATACACGGCTTCATGCATCCACGAGCTAAAAAGTTCTCGGATTGATAGGTTCCTAGATTGATGGGCTTAAGAATCAAAATCCCTCGGTTTTGTGCTTAACGGGTGCTATACTTGATGTTTTTGTATTTTAGGGATTTGAGAGTTTTGGGTTAATGGGTTTCTGCTTCAAGATCGATAAGTCTCGAGGTGTCTGTTGACTGGTTTCATAGTTTCACAATCCGCTGAATACTCTATTAGATAGAAATAAGTGTCGAATAATGAGTATTTCACAAGCGTTTCTCGCGTTTAACGATAATTTTTCCTCTTTTCGGGCTAGTAATTCGAGAAAAAAATTGTCTTTTTTAATTCTGGCAAGACAGATCTCTTCGGAATTTATTTAGGATCAACCTGATCCATTGGTGTCGACGATCGGTTGGAAATTCAGGTCTCTAGAGAATTTGGAACCAAAGAATGTCATCTGGCTCCACTGTGCGCCGTGAACAGGATTTCAAATCTCGGGTGTAGCGTGCTCGGGAGAATCCGCAGGACAACGGACGAGGCATACGTATGTGTGTGTGTGTGTGTGTGGTGTGTGTGTGTGTTTTCGTCAGGAAGGAAACGGGGTTTCTGCTTGCTGGAGGCGAATTCGCTTCGTCGCCGGAAATTCCGTTCGCTTCTTCAGAGGCGTCTCGCTCGTTCATTGCCACGTTGAGACTCCGCGGGTCACATCGATTTTTTCGTTCACGGCGAGCGGGCGAGAGATGGTCCATGGAAATGGATAACCGATAAGAGAGCGAATCAGGATGTATGACGAACGGGATCTTCCAAGATAATCCCGCTTCCCCCGTCCAGATTTTTCGGAGCGTTGCATTATCGAGGGTCCGGAAGCGGATATTGTATCAAACTTGTATACGATTATCTCGAAGGCATCCTCGTAACGGATGCTCCTATTCAAGCCGTCCCCGCGAACGCGTTATCTCGCATCTCGAGCATCTTCGTCGAGACGTGCGACGTGGACCCTCATCGACGGCGATGTTGATAGTAATCGCTCTGGAAGCACGCGGTGTACTTGTATGCGTGCGGAACGTATGCGATGTCGCATACACGCGACATCATCACATTGTTAATAGATACGACCCGCTCGTTTGGAAAAGTAACATGGCTCCCGGTGCGACGGCACTGGAATATTAAATATTGCATATCGTCAAGTTTCAACATCGTCCGTCCGATTTTCATCGCGCCTCTCCTCCATTTCGCAACCATTTATCGAGTCAGTGACGATCAATGGCTGCATTCAGAAGACGCAAAATGATCAGTGAGCGCTTAGTGATTCTCGCTTCTGATTGGCAAACAGGGTGTTTACTGCCTGGAAAAACCTGGAAAATCAGGGGAAACTCGGGGAATTTGTTTATCCCTGGAAAATCAGGGAAAAGTCGGGGAATTTTATTGGAAATCGGGGAATTTTCTTTGAATTTGTACTTTTTGAAATTTTCTTATATTATAATAATATAGAACAGGAAAGGTATTTGAAAAGAAAACAGAATTTAGAAGCGAAGGAGTTAGAAATGAAACGTATACAAAGGAGTTAGAAATGAAACGTATACAAATTTTAGAAAGCGCGCAAAAGGAAGCAGAAGTGCTTCGAGGACAAATTGCAACTTTAAAAAAATAATCGAAAATTTCTTTAATATTAGAGTGCAATGTAAATTTTTATTATATTTTCGCTGGGTAATGCAAATTTACGTTGTTATGTATCGACAAATTTTTATATTTTGTTTAAATTTTTATAAAAAATCGAAAATGTAAGGACAAGTTGCACAATAAATATATATATTCATTTATAAGACACTTAACCCTCTGTTTGATTTGTAGATTTTTGGAAAACAGTAACAATTTGAATTTACTGTAAACCTTGATTGATTTAGAGAGATGAGGCCTAAAAGTTCCATTTAAGGAAATCCTAAAAATATTTCCTCAAATGAAGGTTACAGGCATCACCTCTGATTTAATCAAATTTTACAGTAAATTCAAATTTTACTGTTCCCTGAAAGACCCACGAATCCATGCGGGGGTATTGAAAAAATACTTTTATTTGACCTGAAATTTTTAACAAATTGCCTGGAAAATCAGGGAAAAGTCAGGGAATTTTTTTACTCCAGATTTGAATCTGAGATTGAAAAAAATCCTGGCAAATACTTGCGGATCTATGAAGAATCTAAAAGAATGCTCCAGTCACAGACAATAATCACCAAGCGCTCACTGTTCACTCTGTTCATGCTGAACGCAGCCAATATTGTCGGTGACGTTTATTAACAAAGGAAAATCGAATTCGTCGAGTCGGTCGCATTGCGGCTCGCAGAAGGAACGCAGAGAGAGAGAGAGAGAGAGAGAGAGAGCCCGCCGCTCGCCGATGAATCATTTTTCGCATATGGAGTAGCGAGTAGCGGTGGAAGCTGTACGCTGACGACGAAAAAGAAGGTCTGCTTGACTCATTCCCGTCGTCATCGAAGCCGGGCCCGTCTACGCACCGATTGATCATGATATCAACAGACTCGCATCGCGATGTTTATGCGAGCGAGCGAGCGAGCGAGCGAGAACGCAATATCGGCCGAGTGACGCGGATGCGACTCGTTTCCATCGCTCTCGTTACAATTAAAGAACGTTTACTACGCATTACGGGCGCAAGCACGACGAGCTATGTACACGGGAAGAAACGAATTTCCTTCGCATCTGTGGAGCAAATCGGTCGAAGCGGCCGGCCGGAATACGCGGCGGCTGTTTCGTGCGCGCAAAGAACGCGCGCGCGCGATGACGTGTGCTCGCCTTTTCGGCGGGTAAACCAGATATTCACGTCTCCCCCGACTTTCGTGCTGCCCGCCGCTTTATTGACATTCTATCTCTCCCACCCGTTACATGAATACGCTTCCACGGACATCGACCCCTTTTAAATAATGTTACCTCGCGGAGCAGACGCGGAGGGACGAGTCCCTCTCTCCGAGAGAGAATCCCCCTCCCCCCCGAAAGGTCTCGTCTCCCGAGATTATTTCTCGAAACTTCTCTTCGGAGTTCGGTCATCGGATAAAATGAAAAGAAAACAATTCTCTCTCTGACAAAGTTGTAACCGTGTTCGCTGTGCTTGCGAATTGTATCACGCGACGACAAGACAAACAATACAAGCGACGCAGCGGAAAAGATAATATCGAATGTCGCGAGAGAGGACGCGATTATTATCGTCGAGGCTCACGCAGAGGACAGAGGCTCTTCGACGTCAAATGATTTATTGATAGATATACATCTATGATAATATATGCAACAAGAAGTAAATCGCTTTCTTATCGAGAGAAGCGAAGTCCGCCGCAAATAAAGTCCTATTGCGAAGTGATATATCTTTATCGCTACGTCTTACGTGTTAGCCTCCAGTCAGAAATTACAGAAACGTCTCGTCTTATACAATTCTTTAGTAGCAAATACTAAATTACGCATTGGTCGAGTTTCGAAATAAATTACTTAATTGTACGGTAAAAGAGCGCGAGTAGTGTACAGAGTAAGAACTAGGAAGGCCTATAGAACGCAAATCGGAGAAATTCAGAATGTCACAGTTTGTGATGCATATTCTGTACACGCATGTGTGTGTGTGTGTGTGTGTGTGTGTGTGTGTGAGAGACTGTGTACGCATATTCAAGCTACTCGCCCGGCGAGTCAGACGACGACGATGAAGGAAGGACCACGTCAGATGCATAAAGAAAAATGATGTCCCGGTGATAAAGCGATCCATAAAGGTGCGTTCATCGCGGCATCGCGGAAAACCACACGCGCGAGCCGCCTCTTGGAAAATGCGACGTCCGCCGTTTACAAAATAATCTTTTCCTGCGTGTGTATGCGTGCCCGACACTGCGTGTTTACGTGTGTACCCGCTGTCGCGATCGCTGTCGAGAGGTGTACTTACAAAACTATATCTACAGAAAGATGTAACGCGCGTTCGCGTTGCGAGAAAAATCGTCGCCGCCTTAAGATACTTCGACACACTCGTTCGCCTTGTCTCTCACGTTACGCTGCCCGAAATGCTACCAGGGTTTTTTGTGCACGGCGAGAGGATCGACACGATGCGTGTCGTCGGTACTGTCTCAGAAACGCGTAGGCACTTTTGCCTTAGATATCTAAACGAGTGAGTAATATCGGACATGGTGCTATTATAAGTGTCTCTCCAGATAACAGATATACAATACACCAGTTTCCCTCCTCTTCAATAGTTACATAGGACGCGAAAGCTGGATTTCCCATTCCGTTCGCGCTGATGCATCGTTAATGACAATAAGCTCTCTCTCTCTCTCTCTCTCTCTCTCTCTCTCTCTCTCTCTCTCCCTCCCTCTCTTTCTCTTCACGCAAATGTGGACGCGACGTTACGTCGATTCGAGAACGCACGAGCACGCACGTGTAGGAAGAAAAACTACAAATTAAATACACCGGAGCAGAGGAGAATCCAAGAGTGTCAAGCCCTTCGCTGTCGAGGCGCGGTGGGTCTACGCCGGTGAAGAGACTACGGTCGGTTAACGAAGAGCGTAGAGATCGACGCTCATTAGACAGATGCGTTGCAAACGCAAGAGCTTCAACACAGAGTGGCTGCTGCTTTCGCGAAAGATTGGCAGCAATTATCGCTTCACTTTGAGACGCGATGGGCTTTCGGATATTTTTAACAAGCGCGTCGCTGCGAAAGGGTTAACAATCCACGCTGGCGCGTCGCACGTTCTCGAAAACACTATTGTTAGGAGTACAATGCTCTCTTTTAGTGTACACCGTCGCGCTGCCGTATTCCGGCGCCGGACGATCTCGCGATCGTCCGGCCTTTTTGTTCTTTGTACAAAAATATATGTGTGTACACGTAACGTATCTCTCTCTCTCTTTCTCTCCCTCCCTCCCCCCATCTCTCTCTCTCTCTTTCTCTACCTCTCTCGCATTTCGCTTCTTTGTTTCACAGCCTGCTTTAAATGAAAAACACACAGCATACTTGTCGCCGACGATGTGCTGCAAGTGGCTGAGATCTGTCGGTAGCTTTGTAGCGGACTCTGTTAATTGGCTATTGGAATTTTACTTTTCTCTTATGTTCACTCTTCCTCTCTCTCTCTCTCTCTCTCTCTCTCTCTTTTCCTCTCTCCTTCTGATTTTTCTCTCTCACTCTCTGTCTTACCGCTACAGTTAACAATGGAACATGAACCAGAGTCCTAACTAACGCAACTCGTTATTCATCTCTCGAGTAGAACTGCCCGACAATTAGCGCGTAGCATGCTCGGTATACAAATATTTAAAACACACTGTGCGTCCGCCGATTTACATTCAGTATGATTTCGCTCCCCCCCTCTCTCTCTCTCTCTCGTGATCTTGAGAGCACAAAGCGGAAGCTCAGAATTCCACGTCGTCTTTTCCGTTCTGCTTCTTCTGCCACACATTCGTAATACAAGCTTAATATTTTACACGCTTCTTCCGTTCGAATGCCCCCCCCCCCGCCCTCCTCCTAGCTCGTCGCTTAGCCTAAAGGATAAAGATCTCGCTCTTCCTTTATACAAAGCACTCTGCATTCCGCGTGCAACAAAAGTTTCGCACTTGCGCGGGTCGGAGTCGTTCGAGTCGGTGGGCGAACTGTTTGTGATTTTGGAAAGTCACGCAGCGTTATGTACATTCGCACGGCTCTCGTGCAAGCAAATTCCACGCGGGAAGGAATCGCGTGTAAGTAAGAATCGTGTCGCCCCATTGTTAGTGCGAAACTTTCGTATATTGACAAATAATACCGAACGTTTCTCCACGCGGTAATGAAATTTCGCATGAACCTCAACTCGCACTTGACTCGCTGTTTGCGCACGCTCTCCGACTGCAACACGCCGGTCCGCCGGTCACAATCGGCGGCCGTTCGCACAACAACTGTGATGCGCCGAGTTCTCTAAAAAGCTTTTGCAAAAGCCTGTTGCGACAAGTGCCGGACAAGGAACCAACCCGCAGTACAGCACGCAATGTTGAAAAGACGTTGCTGCGACGCTTGCGACAATATTGCAATGTTGCAGCAATATTGCTGCGACGCTTGCGACAATATTGCAATATGTTGCAGCGATATTGCTGCGACGCTTGCGACAATATTGCTGCGACGCTTGCGACAATATTGCAATGTTGCAGCGATATTGCTGCGACGCTTGCGACAATATTGCAATGTTGCAGCAATATTGCTGCGACGCTTGCGACAATATTGCAATGTTGCAGCAATATTGCTGCGACTATTGTGCTGCATAGGAACCCGCGGTGTCACAAGAGACTCGCGTCTAAAACGCTGCGTATCAAACGTTACAAAGCGATCCTATCGCGAAGCGACACCGCGAATCATCGGCCGAATCTTACAAACTGCGAAGTCGTGTGGAGCGTGTAAGCGCAAACACAATAACCGCGTCCTTCGACGGGCGAACGTTCAACGATTAAGCAAGCCTCGTGAGGAAAAACTCGCATTCTGCGTTTTACAATTTATTTTTGCAATAAAATCTTATTCTCGAACCTCATTCGGTTCATCAAATGGCGAGAGTACAGCCCGGCTCAGCAAGATACGCGTCAGTTTGTACTCCTCGAAAATGGCAAGTCGAACACAAGTGACCACGCTTGTACACGCTTCTCGCATTGTTTATTGTATTACGCAGCATACACGCTTCGCACACATATCGTTCACGTGCCACCGTCGGAATATATATAAATGCCCGTCCCGATATGTGAGAACTCTCACTCGGCGCTTGGGAACTCTACACGCTCCGTCTCCCATCGCGCTCGGTCTCCCATCGGTAAGTCATCGCGCATTCACTCGCATTCACTGCCGATTGTCGTGCCAATTTGCTTTCTGGACAAATGGCGTCGGATAATTAAATAAATTTGCGGTTGTTCTCTTGGAACAACTGTATGTACGTCGCAGCATGAAGGCCGCATCGCGATCTCATCCAACGGGGCCGGGGGAATCCGTCGACGACAGCCACGGGATTTCATCATTTGCGACAACACCGCAGCCACACGTTCATCCGCTGACCCGAGAAAGCCGTTGACGAGAAGCGCAGACCGTTGTGTGAAGCAACCACGAAGGCCGCGCGCGCGCGCGTCGCTCTTCCGCTGGGCCGAGGGATCCGTGTTGACAAGGTCACTTCGTAATTATTTTACCACCGAAACATGGCGCAGTGTTCGCGACAGGAGACCGCGCGCAAGTATCAACGATCGCGACGCTGAGGATTTGCGCGAAATTTTCTTGTAAACCCTGCAATTTCTTCATCCGAATAACATTCTTACATTTAGACTTGGCTGCCGACCGTTTGGTATTTGTGGATCACTGAAGGAGGTCACTTGGCTCCCGTACCAATATTTGCCGATTGAAACTTGTCTCGCGTGGAGCGAAAAAAGTAAAATACTTTGTTACGAATCGTACGTGATATATATGTATTATATATCAAGAATCGTATTCATACTTATATATATCTCTCTATATATATATATATATTTTTTTTTTCTTTTATATTTATGTACATATACATATTATATATTCTCATGATCGTGATTCGACTGAGAAACACATCCAATTGTGAAAATGAAAAAAGAATCCAAATCTGACGCAAATTAGATGCGGCAATCGATTCTTAACGTTCTTTATTCTCGTGCAATTTTAATAATGACGATCATTCGTCAGATCTCTCAGTACCTCGCATGACAAGTTTCAAGTAAGGAAGCTTGATGCGGACCCAAGTCCGATCTTCTCGAGTTAGGCTTGCAGGCCCCCCAAACAGTGGGAAACGAAGCCCAAATGTAAGTCAAATGCTCAGATACAATAAGTTACAGCGTATATACAAACATGATGGAATTTTGCGTAAATCTCGGCTCGCGAGAACGAAGGGGAGGACGGTTGTTGACTCCCTGGCGAAAGCCAGCAATGCGTTACAAGGTTATTGTGTATCGGGAAGGCATAGTAGATATGATATTTATACATCTGCTGTATAATAATTCGTCTCCTTTTATTTTATACAAACTAGAGTCGCTTATATTTAGTCACTAAGTTTTCACATACTTGAATGTGTGATATTCTAATTTCTTCTGCTTTCTGCGACGTTCTTATATCTTAGATCTTAACGTATATGTATAATCGAAACAGTAATACGCACATATCTCAGTCTCTGTACATACCATCTAACGTTCTAAGGAATTCTCGATGTTTCCTGCGCGCGTAACATTCAATAGAAGCCGATACAAAAGAGACTCTTTCTGTATAACAATGTTTTCGACGACTTAATACCACGACACGTGAGAAGCCATTGTTTGTAGCGTCCCTGCGAATAGACTTGTACACGTAGACTGCGTCCTCAAACAAAAGTCTCAAATAAAAAGCACAAGAGCTCTCCATCACTCCTCCCTTCGTAGCCGATAGGCATACTATCCTTGTCACACAGACGTAAGAACAGATTCTTCTCTTACCTCCGCTGTAGACTTCACCATTAGAAGTCGAGATATACATAGCGTGAAGCAGGTCTTCCAAGCAGGTCTTCATGACCTCTCGTGGAAACGCTCGATCTATTTATACAAGTCTATCGCCTCTGCGGCGTGTATCACTTAACTCGTCCCCGTCGGTTTACGTCGGCTCGCGTTAACTTTACAATATCAGATTTCACGCTCCGTTACGTCCGTCTCGCGCGTTGTCGGTAGGACGAGGTCGTAAAATCACTACAGACGCGTGCGCGCACGGTTTGCGCCGTCGGTTCGTTTGTTCGACGATCGTCGATCTCGTTGTGACAACTAGAGAGAATGACATTCGGTCGTTCGGTGTTTCGAGCGAGAGGCGCGACATTATGACGGATGAATGACGGCGAAGAGGAGAATAACTCCTGACATAATCGGCTCTACAAGATCGCGATGGGCATATACGTGTGTCTGTGTGATCACGGTTCATCCGTGACTCGTGCGCCGTCTGGATGCGACACGGACGCGAAATCGGCGACCCTTTTCCACGTCGAAACAATGAGAAAATTAAATCAAATAAAACTCGTGGGTAATGTGTCTTCGCAGTCGAGCGGTTCGAACGAAACATCCCCTAGAGCGTTGGCCTTCGTGTTCAAAATGAAAGTCGGAAACGTGATCTCCCGAGACGCGTGGTACCTCGGTGCCGCGCATGGCTCGAGTTCCCGTTGTCTCTGTGTTATCTGAATGCAAGTGCACTTCCCGCACCGTCGGTGTATAAATACAGATCGGTAATTGACTAGCGGGTACTATTGACAATCTAAAAACACACAAAAGCGAAAGACCAATCGCGTTGTTACAATACAATTCGGCTCTTAATCGCAAATTCCGCAATTCCGCTCGAAAGAGAGAAAAAAAAAGAAAAAGGAGAAAAGAAACACACAGAACGCCAGTTGAACGACGATCGACGATCCGCAACGCCGGACACGTTACAGGACAACGTTGGGAGAGATAACTAAACGCTAACGCTTCAGTTGGAGATTGAGAGTCACGATCGTAAACGTCCCGAGCCTCCGTGCAAAGCTCGACGGACACAAAGTGGGCTTAGTAGGTCCAGACGGGGAATGCCGTTTCCTAGACGCCCGCTTCCGTGTCGGTGGTGCCGTGGTGTTCCTGGGGCCGAGAAAGGGAAAGAAGTGCAACCAGGCCTAATGATTCCGCCAGAAGATCTGGCGCTTTTGACTGCGTTAAGAAAAAAAATGAAAAAAAAAAAGAAAAAATGGAAAAAGACAAAAGGTACAAAAGCTTTACTCTAAACCTACAACGAAGATGAGCTTCTTTCTAATAATGCGAAAAAGCGCCGAGAAAAGAGACGAAATTAGATTTCCAGCCAAATCAGACTCAACGATCCGAGAACATTGGATTATCCGTCACGTGTAAATCGTGTGTGTATAAACTGCAATGCAAAATATACGACCGACCGGCGATGTGTACAATGAGAGTACACGCAACCAGTGATGTATTATATATATATGTATATATATATATATATATATACACACACACACACACACACACACACGTGTTGCTTTATTTTTTTCTCTCTTTTTCTTTCACCATGAGCAGACGAAAGAGAAAAGCGTGATGCAAGGTAAATTCTTTTTTTTTTTCCCTCCGTCTCCTCTTCACTATTGCCTTACCGATGCATTTTGATCGGCCTGTTTACAGTTGCTACATATATAATCGTCTTCCTCCGCGATTTCTGTGCGATCCAATCCGACACAATGCATATGGAACCAACCCTCGCAGCCACCGTCACACTGAACCCAATCAACTTCTTTACCTAAATAACAAATAAAACAATACGCACGTTGAAACGTGTTCGCAAAAAACAAACATAATCATAAAGCTTTAACAGAGAACACAAATGCGGGCGTAATAAGGAAAATATAGCAGCAAATCAAGTATACAGATGCATGTTACAAACCAAGTACGCGAAAAAGAAATCCCTACAACCGCGAAGCGCGTACTGTGTGATCAAAAAATTTGCGTACACAATCGTTGTAATATAATGTTTATTGCAGACAACATTGTTCGTCATTATATATATATCTACCATATATATAATTATGATGTATCTCGCGAAGAACAACAGTGTGAGAACGTCGAAGATCCCGTTAAAGCCACGTTGCGAATATGTTATACACAACAACGTCATCCTTACCACCAGGTCGTAGACAGTTAACCGCCGCGCAATCGTCCTCTTCGTCCGACGTGTCTTGCTTGGTCTTCTTGCGGTTGCCGCCTCGTTTCTTAGGCCCGTCCTCGGCCTCTTTGCGCTTCATCTGTAATCCATATTTGACTGAAATCGGGCTGTCTGACGTTCGCGAAACGAACGCGTCCGCATTATAAAATTGTTAAGAGGAATGTCTCGAATTGAAACTTCCCACTTGTACATCGTCGTCGGCTACAGAGAGAACGAGCTTTAAACGGTTGCGCTTTCCTATCGTCACAATTTTGAGATTCTTTCCCAATGCGCGTGTCTTGTGAAATCGTGTTTATAACATCGCGCGAAACATACTATATCCCCGGTAGGTTTAGACGCGGAAATTCATCGACTAACAGCCGACGGATAGCCACAGCCACCACCCAATCACAGAGAAAACCACAACTTTGAAGAATGCAAACACTTAAACGACACGAAAGATTTAATTCGAGACACGAGATCAACTGATTACTAGAAAAAAATCGAGTACCTTTCGGGGTCCACGTTTCAGCCCCACAGCGGAGTCTCGTTTTATGGGGACGGGCGAGCTGCTCTGCTTCTTCTCTTTGGTGGCGAGGCCTCCGGACTTGCGCTTGTTCGCGATCTTCTCGTCGACTTTCTGCCGCTCGACCTTCTGTCGGCCGATCTTCGTCCTCGGGTCCGACTCCTCCGATTTTCTCTTCCTGCCTCGTTTCTTCACATCCTTGTCTTGGCTGCGATTCGCGTGCACCTCCTCGAACGACGGATACCTACACATGTTGTTGTGGCTGTACGTGTGCCTCAGGATGCGCCAGATGTGCTGCGTCTCGTCGAGTGCCACCTCCAAGAGATCGCCTTCCATCATCAATTCCTCCAAGCGCGACCTCGCGCTCGCAGACAGTACGCCGAACGCCGGATCGCCGCCTTCTCCCGATTGAGTTTTCCGTCGAATTTTCGAGACTGTAACAGTGACACGACACACACCACGTCATTGCTTTCCACAACTCGACGGTTCTCGTGCATGTGTGATAATTACGAAACTCACTGTACGAATAAGCATGCTCGTTACTGTTGAAGGTACTACACGTCGGTTCGTCTTCAATGGGAATGACATCGTCGTCGTCCTCCTGAAAAATTAAATACACATTTGTGTAGCCCGATGATAATTCACGATTGTTACTGAATATTTCATCGGATCGTATCGTAATCAAGCTCTCGTGAGATTGCCTTGCTACTTACGGTATTACTGAACGCGCTGTCGTCTGAATGCACACCGCTGAGCGGCGCGATAGCTTGCACTCTTTTGTGCAGCTCGGGATTGTTCGCAGCCTTCTTCAGCTCGCTGCTGATGATCTTCTCCGTCTTCTCCCGCGCCGCAGCTTCCACCAGCTTTTGCGACATCACCGACAGTTTCGCCACTACAGAGGAGATCTCCTCGGTAGCCAATGCTTGCCTCGCACGGTCCTGTTGTAGCACACAATTAGCTCGGTTAAAGGAGTTTCCAACATCGAACATCACACGCGAGAGCATATTCTCGACACAGGTTGTACTCACCTGCCAGTTCATTGCGCGTTCCGTCAGACACTGCAACGCTTCGCCCTCCGGCAAACGGATCGAGATCTTCTGCAGGCTCACTAGAAGGGCCAGTATCGTTTCCAACCGAGGTCGTCGGGAACGTAAGCAGCACGGGCACAAGAACCGCATGTCCCTCGACGGTGACGACTTACCTTTGTAGGAAGTTTTGGGCAAAGGCACGCAGGTGGCTGGGGGGGGGGGGGGAATAAGAGTCGGTGAGTAAACGACCGGCACAATCAATGTGGCGATCACCTTAACAAACGACCAAGTCCAATTTGCAATCCAATTGTTGCACGTGACGTGTGTCGCGTCATATTACTACTCACAGTGGAACCAATCCTTGCAGAGCTCACACTGGAGCATAATGCCGAATCTCGGTCGCCGGCAGAAGCAGTACTTGGAATCCTCGACTTCGACCTTGAGGAGGTTCTTCTCCCGCAGTTGCCTCATCGCCTCCATCTCGCGCTGCTCCGCCAATTTGAAGGCGGCCACCACGTTCGCGGAGTTGCTGGAGTCGTCGAGCTTCGTGTCGCAAACGTAAACGGCACCCACGGACTCGTCGCCTTTGTTGTTCTTCTTGGACTTCATCGCCTGCACACCGACACCGATGCGAGGCGACAGTACCTCCATCAGCGTGCAGTGCGAGTTCTTCCTCAGAAATGTCCTCGCGGTCCTCTCCTTCCATGTTTTCGCCTGCGACAAAGTGGACTCCAGCATCGGCAAGGAGTCCAAGTGTAACGGGATGTTTCTGCCCTTCTTGATCAGATCGTCCAATGTGTCGTAATATGGGAAGTTCTCTCTCGCTTGTATCTCGTTCACCAGCTTCGTCCAGTTCTTCGCCTTGTTCAGCATGTCCTGCAGCGTGTCCAAGCTCGGCAAGTATGCCTCGACCTCGTCCGCTTCGCGAACAAACTCCTCCACCGCCGAGATGGTGCGTCTGTTCTTCGTCTGCAGGAACACCTTGACCTTGTCCTCCCACTTGTCGATTGCCTTCGTAAGCGAGTGCAGCACCGAGAGCGTGTTCTCTACACTGAAATGCGGCGGTATCGCCATGCCTTTCTCAATGAGCTTTATCACGTCCTCGCGGCTGACGTTCCGTGGATCGTCTTGGACGGACTTTACCTCCTCCAGCCACTGCACCTGCATCAATTTCTGCAACGAAACGCGGGCGATAGTGATTAACAACAATCACCAACAGCAGATAATAATCTTACCGATTTTAATAGCAATAACAAGTATCTTTGTGAAGAGAAACGTACTTGCTTCAACCGTTGAAGCTGAGGCAGTTCGATGCAGATAGAATCACCAAACTCGATACACTTCTCCAACTTGTCAATGTCACAGTCGTCTCCCTTGGACTCCAACTCCTCCGCATCCTTTTGAAACTGCGACACCTGATCGAGTATGTACTTGACGCCATCCGATTCCTTGAGTTCGCAGCACAAGTTAGTAATCTCCTTGTAAAACAGCGTCAGTTCCTCCACAGTGAGTTTATACTTGGTATCGACTGACTGCCTGGTTCTGCAGACGGATAAGAAAAGAAAAATCGACATCACGTCAACAGTAAGTCACCATATGAGAGAAACATGTCTATAGTCTACGATCAAGCGCTCCCCACTGACCTTGTACGTTGCTTGTTGTTCAGGAGCTGTTGCGCGACGCTCGAGCACTTTTCAGCATCTTGCACCGCTGTGGTAAGAGCGGTGAGCAACTCGCTCTCGGGAAACTTCTTGTTCTCGGCCTCATTCAACAGCTCCTTCAGTTCAGCCAGCACGATCTTGTCATTCCGGGGGTCCATCGCTTCCTTCACCTTAGTCACCCACGAGTCAAACGACTCGGCCTTGAGTTTCAACTTCTGCAACATGATCGGCAGCTCGTCCAACGTGTACCGATAACGCAACGTATGCTTCTCCGGCGGGCAGCTGCACAGCTCGGCGGAGTGTCTCAAACAAACCAGCTGCGAGCTGTGGCACGAGCACGTAACGGCACTTAGGAAGCAGGTAGTCTTACAGGCTTCGCACTGCCTCTCATCGTCCGGCAGCAACTCGAACGCCTCACGCTCCGCCTCTGTCACACCCTGAGCAGAATAAGTTTCACAGACTCAGAGAAACGCTCCACCACGTACGCCCTCCGTTCTCGAGGCGTGCGTCTCCGACGCGCGCAAAACGGCAAAATGGTCAAACGCGGCGGCAACAACAACAATAATAATAACAACAACAATAATAATAATAATAACAATAATAATAATAATAATAAATCGGCCACGGAAGAGATCGCACTGGCGCGCACATGTACCCATCTGCGTAGAACGGAGCGGAACACAGATGGCCGAGAGAGTTCACGCGAGCCGCGCGCGCGCGACAACGGCGTCGTCTTCACGGCGTACGCTTTCACAGTCACACGCGCGTCCGTCCCGACGGAGCCCCGGGTAGACCCTGCGTGACGCGGCTCGAGAAAATGGAACGCACGTTCAGCAGCATCATGGCACACGGGGATTTTGAAAACATAACCTCTACTCACCGCCGTAAGTTACATAATCTAAATCGGAGGCGCACCGAACAGGCGTCGAGCCAGTCAAGGCCGACTACGTCGCGACTGCGAGAGCGCTATTTTGTCAACGGCCACGACGACGCAGGAAACAACAACACTACGAGCCCGACACCGAGCGAATGCGCGGCGAAAATACGTGGCGGCATTAATTGGCTTTACAACGTGGACAGACGGACGGATGGACGGACGGTGGGTCAGTTGTGTGCCTTCACACCGCACGCACGCACACACACACACATACACGTCCAAATGGTTGGCGCGCGGTATCAGCACGCATACAGATCTTATCGCTTGTATGCACGCGCACTCATACATATTTATGACGACGTGTGCGTGCGTGTGTGCGTAAATGTGTGCGGGCGCGCGCGCGTGCGCGAGTGTGTATGTGTGTGTGTACGTGTGCGGGAAGCGCGCTGTGGCATGTGACATACTACTTATCCTGAATACATTGACCTGTTCTGGCAGGTGTATTGCCCGATTTACATGTCGTGCCTCCCGCATCGTTAATGGAAACGTGTATTCATGTCCGCGACTCGCGGCCTGTTCAAACACGACCGTGCCGAGTCAAGTCATGCGAATACAAGTCTTATCTCCGTAACATAAGACGCAAGCCGGTATTTATAGTCGGGTCTCTTATACTTAAGATCGTCTTAAGCTAGTAGTCTTCCAGATGCTTCGCAGCCAATAAAACGAGCCGCGAAGCACACTCGAAGATAAACTTGAGACCTGAACTTAAATATAAAATTCGATCATTATAGTCGATAGGGAGGAGGAGGAGGAGGAGGAGGAGGAGGAGGAGGAGGAAAGAATTTCGAATTGGACGACCGCAGGCCAATACGAATGCATCCTCAAGTATTCGAGATGGAAAATCGGGATTTGAGCACAATCGAGATGAAACAAGCAGAGATCAAACAAGTTGATACCGAATTGTAATCTCTGATTTGCAAGCTTGACGTCGACCAAAAGGTGCGGATTGATGCGCTTCGTAAAGTTGCGCACGCGCAGCAAACTTACCCACTCCAGTAAATTCTTTCGCAACTTTTTCTCGTCATCTACCATTTGCAGCATGTCGTGATATGTCGCAGTCGCTACTCCGATGTCCAACGAATCTGGATCCAAAGACATTTTACAGACCAACTCGTCGTGAGAGAACACGCAGAATCTCCTCAAATTCGAATAATGCGTGATGCAGTCTCGTCCGATCTTGAGCTGTTGGAGATAGTAAATATGTTTGAAGCATCACACGCAAGTCTGGCAATATTTCTCGTCCGAGTCGAGAGCCTGGACGATAAAATATCGGCAATTATATGATCATTTACGTACCCAATCGGCAGGTGCAAAATTCACGGCTTCTGCAAAGTTGTAGCCTTGATTGAACCCGGCGTGATAGGCTCTCGGAAATGTCACCACAAATTCACCCGCATGCTGATCAGTTCTGAATACTGGTACACCTGCGTGTGTATTAATAATATACGATCAATATCTCACATAGTTTTGACCTTACAAAATTGCACCGTCATTGCGGACTTCAACAAAACCACGTCTAGACGCGGAGGAAATTGTCGTTGTCATTTTTTCACGCGTTCGCGGTATCGAATTTACAGCACAGCATCCAAGTGTCACCACGTACCTTCGTTAGTCAATATGTTCGGATTCATGATGGTGACAAGTTGATGCAACAAATCCGGCTGACTGTGAAACAATTCAGGCGCCGCGGACTTCATCGAGTGTTCGAAACGTTCGGCCTGTGACCCCGGCACGCCGTACCACGTCTTTGGTTCGCCCCAATGCAGGTAGTTGATGGAGTAGCTCCAGTGGTCCTCGTTGTGCCAGCAGAACGTGGCGAAGCACATGCCGACGTACATCCACGGCACCTTCATGCCGCTGATGTCGGCGTTGATGTGACCCAATACGCTGCCGCGCAGCACCGGCAGGTTGTTCAGATTCCACGAGGACTCGGCGTACTCCTGGTCGCACGTGAACAGATTCACGCTCGTCTTGGTCGGGAAGCCGGAGCCGTGGTCCATGGTATGTAAGTCGGCGCCGTATTCCACCGTCACGTCCTCGTCGATGGACGAGACTATCCGCCAAAATTCCTTCTCCACCAGCGACGTCGGAACCATCTGCGAACGTGACGATTAATTGTAAGAAAGACAAATATGCGCGTTACAATATGCGGAGAGTCGAGTCATAAATAACTTCTGACGCAGATGGAAGATTTATTTATTTTCTTTTCCCCACCTCTCCCTCTCTCTCTCTCTCTCTCTGAACATGTACACGAAAAGAATCGATAAAGCTGCTCGCTCGATGTGGAAAGAAGTCATTATTAATAACCGCATATACGCATTTTGCCCTCCATTGTGAAATGTTTCATACGAAGGTAGACTCGAAGGAGGGGTGGAGTTTCGACGACTCGACTCGGTGTACCAAGAGCAAACTTACGTGCACGGGCATATTGAAATAGTCGCTCTTGAACTGATCAGCCATCTCTCCGAATTGTTGCAGCGTGTATTCCCTCTGCGCTTGCTCGAAGCCGAACGCCTCCATCGGCTTGGAGACCTCCTCGGCGACGCACTTTGGACACCGCCAGTCACCCTTCGGTATCTCGGTCAACGGCGGCATAAGGCAGAAAGTATGGTAGCTGTCGTCGCAACCGTCGCACAACAGCATGTTCTCTTCGTTATCACCCCTCCCACAGTTGTGACAGATATATTTCGCCAGCTGTAAGCGAGAACGACGTAGAGGTCGATCCGATTCGCCACCTTGTTTTAGCCCGAGAACGGGCAAGTTATAGCAATCAGAGCAAACTCAGAGAGAAAATCCTATACTTACAGGATCGAACTCGTAAACGAACTTCAAGCCGCGTGTCTTGTTGGCTTTCTTCGCCTCTTTGGTATTAAAGCCAGCCATCTTCGGGCCCGGTCCGTAAAATTGCAATTTCTTAAGTTCCTTGCTCTTGTCTATTTTGTCCGGCCCTTCGGGGCTGTAGTACCTGCTCTTAACGACATCCTTGCATTCGGTATCAGAGTCGCATTCTTCCTTGCAGTCTTCCTGCTTGATCGATACATCTTGCTTCTCCTCTTGGCCGGTAAACCGCTTGGATCGTCGCGAGAACTTTTCGTTCGGTGGTTTGATTTGCTGCCGAGATATTATGCCGTGCGGCTTGTAATCACGATCCCTCTTCTCGTTCGCGTCTGTTTCTGGTTCTATTTTCTGCACACAACACCGTCATATTTATTCGACTTGATACGGATACAAGGAACTTGAAGAAGGCGATGACAGTAAAAACGGAGCGAGCCTGCTTTTGCAAATTAAAGCGCGTATACTTACGATATCTGACAGTGTCTTTCCCAGCTTGAAAACGTCAAAAGGATATAAAATTCTCTCGTAGTGATTCTTCAATATGCTACCAACGCTTCGTCCGGATGGGTAGCCCAATTTGTTGGCTATCTTCGCCCACCTCCTCTCCTTCGTCACCGTGTCCACCCCACCTGCGAGAGCAGCGAACAGCGTGAGTAAAATAAAATAACGCGAGGTAAAATTATTCAAGTTCAACGGAACGCGCATCGATTTCCAGGCCTCACCCTCGTCAGTGACGATCTTGTGTAAGGAGTACAAGTCCAACGCTTTGCGCTCCACCAGAGGGATCTTCAGGGAAGAACCCTGCAGCTCCCAGAACTTTGCGATCTGATCCAGAAAGTTCAACTTTATCCTGGTCTTGGCTTCCAACTCGTTTAGCCTCTGTATCCTCGGGACGAACTTGAACTTGTCCACGTCCACGGCGAACGGCGGCTGCCAATTCTGCAAGGAAGCGACACAACGACACTTAGACTTTACACGCGCACCTTCGCAAGCGCAAAAGGAAGCAAAGAGAGAGATAAAGGAGGAAGGATCCTTCTCGACATGCGCTTCAAATCGACAAACGACTCGCACGGTATCTCGTCGATCCTTCGACTGGCCAAGGGCTGCGCGTCTCACGGCGTATCGACGATGGTTATTACTTATTCACGGGCTTCAACATCCGGCACTACTTCGGCTCGCAACTAGAGGCGCGCCACACGGCGCCGCTAGTGCTGCAGTACGACGTGGCCCTTATGTCCGCTGTAACGCTCGACGCAGCAAGAATAAGGGGCAATTTAGTTCTCGACGAACCTTCTTTCCTGCCTGCCTGCCTGCCTGCCTGTCTTCCTTCATTTCGCGGCTACCGAATCGCTATCGGGCCGGGCTGGACTCTCGCAGGAAGCGCGCATCGACGTTCGAGCGCGCGGAGGTTCGGTGAACCGAGGTGTGGCAAAGAGAGAGAGAGAGAGAGAGAGAGAGAGAGAGAGAGAGAGAGAGAGAGAGAGAGAGAGAGAGAGAGACTCCCTGTAGCGCGTGGCGCAAGCTTTGTTCCGCGGAGACTTGATTAAACACGGACATTACTCGTCGTGTGCGAACAACGCGGAGGATTCGCTTAATGCACAACACGCGGATCATATTGTCATCGAGATAAGAGGCAACCGCGTGTGTACCGCGGATAATCGTTTTTATCGTTTTCCAAATGGCAATTGAATCTCTCTCTCTCTCTCTCTCTCTCTCTCTCTCTCTCTCTCTCTCTCTCTCTCTCTCCCACTCCCTCCGCTCGCACACGCGATTCAGTCGGTTCAGCAAAATCTATTTGTGAAGTATTCACGTGTATTATTTAATCAATACCGCACAACGCCGTCGTCGTAATGATACGCAATTCAGTCGCGCATATTTCTAAAGAACACGCACGCACACAAATACAAGCGCGCGCGCATTCGCGACGTTACATATAAAACGTTCGTAAAGATTAACACGATAAAACGATCGAACGAAGTAATCGGTAAATGCACCGCCCAAGGAGGGGAGGGGAGGGGGCACGGCTCTTCCTCGCGCGATAATCGGCGGTATCGTTTGAAACGCGCTAATTGAATTTAAGAGCGAACGGAAAACGAGATGCACGACGAACTTATCTCGCACGCACGCAACGTACGCTCAATATTAATTGATACACCCATCTAATATACATACATATATATGTGTGTGTGTGTGTGTGTGTGTGTGTGCTCCAATAAAATGTGTAAGCTGAATTCTCGACGCGATACTCTCGCCGTACGCTCGAGGCGCGGAGGGGGGGGGGACGAGGGGGGGGAAGGAGAGAAAAAACCTGCCGGACGAGAGTCGATCTCGCGATACCAATTACTCGAACAATTCGTCATTAACGCATATAATAGATCGCGGGTGTCGGGACTGGTCGCGTAATAAAGCGGCGCCACTCGATAAAACGATCGAGAGCGGCGGCCGGGCTCGCGAAATTTTATTTCGCGCTACGCCGGCACGGCGCGGCGCGGCGCGGCGCGGCGTGGCCGTGTAATCGTAAAGTGCATTAATCAAGTCGTCGCGGTCGTGGCCGCAGTTTTACGAGCGCGCATACGCCGGCGTATGGAGAACGTTCGTGCAACTCCTATGACAACTTCCGCACTGGCGACGCGCTCTCGGAAAATATCAACTCCGCAGAAAGCGCTCGAGTTCGTCTTCGCGGGTCCCGTTGCACGTAATACGCACGCACGCGCACGCACACACACGCACGCACACGCACACAGTGTCGTCCGCAAACCGTTGCCACACGCGGATTCTACAATCGGATTTGAGCAGATTATAAAAGTTGTTCGCCTCCGTGGCGGTTGGATGTTGCTTCCTGCAACCACGCATATTTTTTGATCGTGAGGACTGCGTACGCGTTGTCCCTGTCTCTGTTTTTTCTTTCACTTTCATACAACTGGAAAATGGCGTACGAACAAAGCTGAATGCAGTCCGGAGCCATATATCGAACTGAACTAAACTGAACTGATCGGACTTGAGCGGAGCGAAGACGCAAAGTTGTCGCGCCGCGGCAAGGAAGAGAGAGTCGCCGCCGTCCGCGTGGTTATTCCTCGGAGCGGATGCATAATCGTAATGACGATATATAATGATAATGAATGAGCAACGGGAAACCGCGAGACACGGGTCAAATTCCCCGGATCGCTCACCTCGCTCGCGAACGGAAATAATACTCTTTCGCAGCGCGATGGCGACGACGGGAGCGATGGGTATGCACTAATAGACACATCAGGGATCACGGAATTTTCGTCATGTCAGTCATTAATTGGCCGAGTCATTCCGGTCGCGAGGCGGAAGGAAGGGGGATCGTCGGGCAGGTGTAAAGCTCTCTCGCGCGCGCGTTTCCAACGGCCGACACCTCGTCGAGCGGCGGAAGCGCTTTTCCTCGGATTTCACTTCGCGCGCTGCTCTCGCCTCGTCGTTGCGACGCGACGCGACGCGACGCGACGCGCACAGCGATTCCTCTCGCGGGCGCGACGAATCGCGTGGTCGTTTCTCCCGGGCCGCCTCGTGGAAAATGCTCCAGACGGCGCGCACGGATCCCGGACGGAGTTTACGGCTGAAAAAGCGAGGAGAGAACTAGAGACGAGATGACAAGGCCAAGGTTACTGGGGAGTCGCGAAGAAAACGCTGTTTCTCCGGGTTTCGACCGCGTCCTTGCCCGCGCGTGTCCCGCGAGGTCTCTGTCGAAACATGGAGGACACGCTGCTTCGAATTGGAGGAGATTACGCTATAATTGCGACTCGCGCGGACCAGGCGACACGCATCAGCGTGTCTCTCCTTGACGAAATTCACGACTTGCACATGCACAATGTTGATACCTATCTCTTTCTCTCCCTCTCATCCCACTCACGCTCTTAATAGTTGGACAGGGAGACGGGGGTAGATTTTTTCTCGGCGTCGCTGAACGATTAGATAAAAGCAGCGAATATCGACTGTATTATCCGGCGTGCGTGCTTTCGAAAGTTCATACACAGACGAGTGAGATGACGAACAGAGAAAGAGAGAGAGAGAGAGAGAGAGAGAGCCCGTTGGCCACCCCGGTGGGTTGCTGAGACCTCCCTCTCTCGCTCGCCTCCTGTCGCGAGCCGGCAGACGCATAAACGATCGCGGCAACAGCCGGGATAATTATCGAGCATCGATTAGCCGGCGTGAGTAAAAATCAATAATTACTCGAGAGAGAGTTTGCGGCGCCCGGGCGCGCGCTACGAGACACCTGGTCGAGGAAGAGGAGGAGGGAGACACGGACGTAATCGTGCGCACGTTATCACCATCGATAGCCGCTGTCGTTGTCGTCATCGTCGTCGTCGCCTTGGCATCGTGATATTCAGCAAACACATATGCGCGTCGAGATCTTTCCGCGGTCGATCGTTAAGAATTATCCAGGGCGAGCCGCCTTCGCCGAAAATGGTGTCGCTCGAAGACGCCTTCGACGACGGCTTCGACGAAGTCGCCACTGCGGAGCTCGCGGAGGGACTGGGAGAGACGTCCAAGAGGCGCGCAAAGAGGCACACGAGGAAGTTGAGGAAAAATTCCCGGAAGACACACCTCGAGCCGCGAGCGTTGAAATCGGCCGGCGAAATAACGATCGCCGGCCGAGTCGAGTCGAGTGACGCAATTGCCGCGATTACAGATGATTTCGTTGGGGAAAAGAATCTCTTGTTATCGCGCACCGGTCTTCTTCTCGACGTCGGGAAATCGCGCGTTTCCCTCGCCGAGCGGATGACACCTCCGCGCGGAAGGTCGACACGTCGGCGACGACCTCGCGTCGACGGATGGAAACACCTTTCGCTCGGACATCCGCTACATCTACCGCGACGAGGATTCCCCTCGCGGCCTGGGGATTTTTCCTACCTCGTGCACACGGAAACAAGATGGTGGCACAAACCGTTTCTAATGGTGGACGAGTAAATCGACGAGAGCGAGCGAGACGGGAAAAAGAAAGAACAATGCCGTGTTCCCGCCTGAGCGGGACGCGAAAGGTGGGAGAGAGAGAGAGAGAGAGAGAGAACAGTCCGAAAGTACGAATTTCGAGCTGCGTCCGAGGGAAATGCGGCTTGCTCGAAGGACGCAGAGGAGAGAAAAAGTGAGGAGGAGGAGGAGAGAGAGAGAGAGAGAGAGAGAGACGAGAGCTCACGGAGTGAAAGGTGACGAAAGGTGACGCAGGAAAAAATTATGTCACGCGCCGTGCAAGAGAGGAGTTTTCACACGTCGCGAGGAGTACAAGGGCGAAAGAAGTCGCGCTCTACCCCGAGGAACTTCCGCGTGGCTGAAGTGGGAGAGAGATGGAGAGAGAGGAACAGAGAAAAAGAAGCGCGTGCGTTTCGGCTGGGAAGTCGAACGGCGATGATAACGGGATCGCGCTGGCGTCGATAAATTTCCCGTGCGGGCGGCTCGATAAAATCCCGGAACGGCGCGCCACGCCGGCGAGAAGTAAACGATGATCACGTTTTCTCCCGAGATCGCGCCCGCTTTCCCCTCTACCTCCATCTCGAGCCACCTCGTGGCGCTCCGCGTCCGAGCACTGCGTTTCGTAATACTTTCTCGGCGGTAACGTCTCCTACGCGAGCGCATGTGTCACCGTGATCGCAGAAGTCGTCCCCCCGCGGTCGTGGCCATTTTACATGGCGGTTCGTAAAACAGGCTGACGCGTACCACTTCGGCGTACGACTTACGTGTTACATCAAATCGCGGATCGACGTTCCCTCGCGCGACCACGACGTCGACGACGACGACGATGACGTCCACAGGCGCTCACTTGTGCGCGACTGTGCCGCCGTCGCGATTCTTACTGTTGTCATTGTCGCCGTCTTCTTCATCGTCGCCGTCATCGGCGACGAAGCGGTGCATCCGTGAGAGAAGCCATCTCGACGCATCCATTAATATCGTTGTGCGGCGTAACGCGTCGAATGGTGAGCGAGCGAGCGAGCGAGCGAGAGAGAAAGAGAGAGAGAGGCGGTTGTGTTTCTCTCTCTCTCTCTCTCTTTTTCTCAGCTTGTTTCGCTCTTTATCTCTTTGGCGTCTCGCGCTCTTTCTTTTTTCTCCATACTTTTCTTTCCCCGTCTTTTCGACGTTTTGGCAAGCATCCCGGACGACGCAATGCGCGTATGCGAGCGACATACGCGTACGCGTAAGAGAGGTCATTATTTGGCGAGACGGAAAAATATGGAGACTCACTGCGGAACAAAAACAGCGTGCTGCCACGCACGTTTCGCACGTAGTCGCGTGTTGGCGTGCAACGAACGCTTTCGGACGGGAATCCGCGCGGAGAGGTGACCTCTCCCCCTTCCCTTCCCCAGGCCCCGTGATTTTCTCGTCCTGCTGCATCGTCATCGTCGTCGTCGTCGTCGTCGTCGTCGTGATCCTGGCTCGTTCCGCGAGGATGGATTGTCGTTTGTTAAAACGAGGTCGCGTGCTCGTAAGAGCCAAGAGCAGCGATTCTCTCCTCTCTCTTTCTCCCTCTCTCGGCGATCATCTCCTCGTCCGTCCGCGAGCCCTTTCCGTTGCGCTCCGCGTGAGAAAAACGTCCACGTAAGATAGGATCGATGGTCGGCGTCCTTCGTCACGATGACGATAATAACGACGACGACGACGACGGCGGCGACGTAGACGACGAGGAGCGCTGCAATGACAAAGACGACACCAACGGCGACAAAGAGGACAATGTCCGTGTAGTGCGGCAACGGCAACGGCAACGGCGACGACGACGACGACAATGACGATGGCGAAATAAGGACGAGAGAAGCCTTCAGTGCTCGGCGAGTCGTCCCAACGGCTCTACGGGCTCTACTTACAGGCGGCGGTTTGATCTTGCAGATGCCGGACTTCTCCGCGATCGGACGTATCTTCGCGATGTAGGCGAGCGGGTCCTGGAACTCCTCGTTGGTGGGCTCGAATACCGGCGCCTCTGGCGGCACCAAGAACTCAAAGTCGCTCTCGGCGCGGTTGTCGCAGGCCATGTCTTGGGACGTACGAGAACTTCCGCCGCCACGATTCTCGCTTTGCCTTGATACCATGACACGGTTAGAGGCACGCACGCACGCACGTACGCCACTGAGACGCTAGCACGCAACGCACGCACGCACGCACGCACGTTAGCTAGCTAGCTAGCTTGGCCAGCTAGCGAGCTAGCTAGCGCACGCTGGGTACACCTCTCTTCGTGTGAGCAAGGACCTCGCGCGCGCGTCAAGTGCGGGACACCACGCAGCCTGTGAACGACGACGACGTTACCACTGTCCGTCCCGGGATGACCGCGCAGAGGAGTCACTACAAACGCCCGTGGCAAGCATACTCCTGCTGTGGCGGACCGCCTGTCCCTCCGCGCTGCTGCTCACTGCAACGTTGCTCAACGCGTTGCGAACGCGCGACGCGCGATTAACGGACGCGAACACACTGTATCACAACATCGATCTCACGCGAGAGAACACCACACTCGCTCGTCCATCCGCTCGTTCGTCGCTCGCTCGCTCGCTCACTCACTCGATCGCGCGTCGACCGACCCACCGACTGCCCCTGCGGCCCCTTCCCCGTGCCCCGATACGCTTGCCTGACGGCAAGCACGACGCTAGCGACGCCATGCTTCGCAGTGCCGTGCCTCGCGGCGCTGCCGTCGTCTCGCGAGCGCGATGCGCAGCGAGCTCCGCGCAGCTGCGCTCTCTCACGTGACTCTGAGCGCGCGAGTTCTTGAAATTCTCTCGGCGCGAGGAAATCGGGTGTTTTTTTGGCGATACCGTCTCTCGGATACGGTAAGCGTTGATCGTGAGTGCTGTTGGGGAGTTTTTGCAATATCGTCTCTCAGATACGGTAAACGTTGATCGTGAATGCTATTGGGGAGTTTTTGCAATACCGTCTCTCAGATACGGTAAATGTTGGTCGTGAGTGCTACTGAGGAGTTTTTGCAATACTGTCTCTCAGATACGGTAAACGTTGATCGTGAGTGCTACTGAGGAGTTTTTGCAATATCGTCTCTTAGATACGGTAAATGTTGATCATGAGTGCTATTGGGGAGTTTTAGCAATACCGTCTCTCAGGTACGGTAAACGTTGATCGTGAATGCTATTGGTCGCGTACATGGCAACGTTATTTCTGAGCGAATAACGTTCACGTTTTACGTTTACCGTATTTGAGAGACGGTGTTGCAAACATTCCCTATTTTAGCATTCATTTTTTACGTTTATCGTATTTGAGAGATAGTATTGCAAAAACTCCACAATGAGAGCGAGGTCACCGACGAGATACTATAAAGACTGTTGGTCTTGCGGAATTTAGCGTAACCAGAGAAATCTCGCTGTGCATTAGCGCCCTCTTAGAAATACCGTGGCCGGAATATGAAACATAGCTCGAAATAAGCATGGATGGTAACAGATATGGAATAATGGGAAAAAGATCAAAACACTATAAAAAAACTATCAATACGGAAGGTCGAATGTGTGTATGTGTGTGTGTTTGTGTGCTCCTAGGATTGCGAGACGTGAGAAAATTTGGAATACGTTTTATCTTAAATATATACACACGTTGGCATTCCTTGAGTCAATAATTCGAAGTTGAAATAATACCAAAATTGCGGTCGAAGACATATGTACAGTGTTTCACGAATTCCTCGCTCCGAGGAATTCATGGAGACATAGAGCGGATTAAGATAAATATAAAATATTTGCAATAACGCTCGAGTTATTAATTATAGGAATAGGTAATGAATAAGCACGCGCCGAGATGATATCAAAAATGCATCGAAGCCGCTCGATGCAAAGCGCGGCCCTTTTGATATAGCAATTGTTACCAGCGCGCGGCGAGGGGGAGGACAATGCGTTACTACTTGTATTTTATCTCGCGCTGCTCGTGTATTATCGTCTTCGTCGTCTCCGTCGTCTTCGTCGTCGTCGCCTCCGTCGTCGTCTCCGTCGTTTTCGTCGTCGTCTTTGTCGCTTTCGTCGTCTTCGTCGTTTTCATCGTCTTCGTTGTTTTCGTCGTCCAAGTCGTCATCTTCGTCGTCTTCGTTGTCGTCTTCGTCGTCGTAAAAATTGTTCTGTGACTCCCTGCATACAGGGTGTCTCCTAACAATTGTTGCAGAGCTCGTGGAGACATAGAGTGGGTTAATACAAACATCAAAGGCCCATACCGTTTTGCGATATTCTTAACAGTTATGCAGTTATTAATTACAACATTCTAATGAGTAAGCGCGCGCCGGGATGAATAATTGCAGAAGCGTCGCAGTCGTTCGGGTCACAGCGTAGCCTAGTCGATTCAGCAACTGCTGGCGGCGTGCGTCGAGAGACGTAGGACCGGCGAGATAAACATGGGGTGTTTCCGAAATGTCCAGGATTGGATCGAGTTGAGTTAGTTTCATTCACTATAATATCCGTCACATATACTATAGTGGAACCAACTCAACTCGATCCAATCCTGGACATTTCGGAAGCACCCACGAATAGCAGCCTGTTGTCTTTCTCCTCGCCTCGCACCGGCAATAATTGTTAGCTGTATTATCATGAGCGTAGCCAAAGCAATCGGTATTATCATCGGTTGCTCTTCAATTATCTCCGGGCTCTCTTCGGGCCCCCTGGTTGATACGAAAATCTACCCAGGGCTGTCAATCTTTATATAACCTCGTCGGTGCGCGCAACCTTCTTCGTTGATTGATAACTGATATTGTACGTTTTGTGTAATGCATCGCGGCAAGTGGCAAGGGACGAAGAAATAGCGAGGTGAAAAAGGCAGAGCAGAGAGAAACCTGAGAGCGGCCAACACGACATTTGTCTCGTTCGACATCTTGCGCGCCCTCTGTCTGCATGTCAGATACGACAGCTGTGCGGAGAATCGATCACGAAATATCACGCCGCTTTTCGCAGATACTGCTGGTTACTGCTCTCCGAGTGAGTACGATGAGATTATGTAATTGTTTATTGCTCGAGACTGAAATTGCATATTTCGACCTTGTACTCGCCTCAAGCTCGAGACTTTGAGGCAGCGAACGATTCGAGTGACGTTTGTGCTGTTAAAATTATATTAACCGCAATCTCAAGAGCGGTTGTGTTCTGTTAAATATCACGACGACTACACGATTCCGTACGTTTTTCAGGCTCTGAGCAAACATGGGGAAGTACTTTGGTAATCTCGCTAAAATCAGCGGCGTCGTTTACTTCCGTATTAGTCCGTACGAACAAAAAGCCTTGAAAGGGGTCATTTCCGATGGTGTGCCAAATTTGATACGTCGACTCAAAGGCAACGTATTCCGTATAGCACCTAGTGAGTATTTGTGGTCACATTACTTCTCAATCGAGTGTAATACACTTTAATGGTTTAACGAGTAACTTATTTGTTTTTTTGTAGTCTTCATGGGTACTTACTTGTTAATGTGTTGGGCGGATGAAACAAACAGGGCACTGCACCGCAAAAACCCAAAAGACTATGAAAATGATACATAAATATATCACATAGAAATTTAGCCAATGACGCTTCTAGTTTCTTGCAAATGTTAATTGTAAATGTTCTTTCCAACCTTGGAATAAGTAAAATATAAAAAAATGATGTGAAGTAGTAATTATGCATATATATATTTCATTTAAATTGCTGCGAAATCTGGTTTGCTCAGATCTTCATTTTTCAATAGTGAAGTTTGTTGTTGGTTTAAGAGGATTGTTATTTCTTTTGACAACTAAAGATAAAACTTGACTGCTCAACTGGCAGTATTGAAGAATAAAAAGTTAGGAATGTACATCTCGCTGATGATTTACAATGTTATTTGAAAGTAATAAATACCGTAATCTGTGAAAGACATAACATAACATTCAAAAGTAAAAGGTTGTCTAATCTGCCATTTAATAGTTCTATCGGGAAATTAAAATCTGGCTATCTTGTCGGTGAGTCGTACCGCAAGTTCAATTCTTCATTAAATATAGAGTCTGTTCTTTTCCAAAGAACTTGTCAACTTGTGCAATTAAAGCGACAGAAAATATATCTGTTTCGCTCTAACTCATTGCACTAGTTCAGAAGTTCTTCGAGAAAGAACAGATCTAGAGTGACGAAACTCGTGGTGGAAAACTCGAAACCATATAATAAGAATAAATATAACGGATCCAAGCGGAAATAATTGTAACGGGTCCGTCCGCGAGAAAGTTTCCTACAGCGCCTCTAGGTGACGCCACATAGGCTGTAGCAGATTCTGCGAGACGGGCTATTATTTCAAGATTTAGTTCCAAAGTCTCCGCTACGAGCCGCCACCATCCTCAACGAAGAAACGACGTCGTAATACGATTCAACGACTACCGCATGAAGACCTCCTATTTTCAAGAAGTGCTCTTCAAGTAAGATTAGGGCAGACCTTGTTATCGAGCGTTATTCAACAAATGATTCTTTTTATACACAAATACTTGATATCCGATACGACTCAATCGGGACTCAATCGACCTCTTTGTTTTTAAATATCACGACTCAATGGCGGCGATTGGAAGTACTTAAATTTCGGGACGATACGAACATAACTCAACGCGATGAGTACGCAAGACTGTCATTTCTCAGTAACACGTCCTCAGAGTTGCGTAAAAATTATTATCCCCACTTGTCAATTGGAATAAATTAAGACGCGCGACATACGACGCGTGTCGCGCGGAAAAATCTCACCTCACGAGAAATAATGCGAAGCATCAGTTTTTCTTAGACACTAAATACACGACGAAAAATTACTTCTTGTCGTCGCGTTCTCTTTGCAAATGCCACCAGCTGTCATTATCAACGATTCAACGCGCGCGTTCGGTAATGCTGAGAAAATCGCGGATCGATCGGTCATCCGCAGCCCCATCGATATAAACTCGCCGAGTGAAACTCGAAACGCGTCATGACCGATTATTCAAGCGTGGAATCTCTTTTTCAACATCGCCATCCCTATTCCTCCCGTCTTCCCTCGAGTCGCATTCCTTGTGTGCCCCCCTTTACAGCAGGCGGCTCAGTTCAGTTCAAGATACCGGTATTCGAGTTAGGGATGCCGATTTTAAATCGATTTAATCGGAGATCGATTCATCGGAGCCTAAAAGATCGATTTTCCGGAACTGAATCGCTTCAAGGATCGATCTGTAAATTCTGAAAATCGCCAACACGATTTTCTCAGTTTTCGCTAGTAATATCGTTTTTTTCTTCGTTAATTCTTTTTAGTTGTAATATTTCAACTCATTTAATGGCTACACGATGCACACTACGTTGCCTTTAAGCCGATGTTCCATGGGCGAAAATTTTCAGCGGAACGGAACGCGCGAACCAATCACAGCTGCTTCATATAATAGTACATATTATATACATATGTATATGCATATAATAGTAAACGTGAATTTCTCATTTAATAACGTTTAAAAACCCTTGATTGATGTTTAATCAAACCGATTAAATCCTTGGCACAAAGATTTAAAGATCTTTTTCTATCTTGTTGCGGCCACACAACACAACCAAAAGAGTACCATCTGTTTCAATCTCTTTAATTCATATTAACCTTTACATGAATTACACGAGGTCTGCTTCAGAGTGCAGAAGTTTCACAGATAGTATACTTTAATGAGTGGTTCACTTTACATGCATACCGATTCAAATCGATTTTCTGAAGTCGATTCTTTACAAACTGATTTCTTATAGATCGATCTTTTTCTTCGTGATCCGAATCGATCTTTAAATCGATATGTTTGAAAAAAAAATCGGCATCCCCAATTCGAATATCTTCGTTCTTTTCGACGCGCACGGTGCAACGTCGTCGGCGCGGCGCCTCGCGCGCTGCTCTGCGATTAAACGCGGCAACTTGGCGCATACGTGTCAGCCGGGGGGGAGCGGCTTCGCTTCACCGCAGGCGAGAGACCCGGAGGAAGCGCGCGCGGAGAGCCCGCTGCTGATCGTCATCGTCCTGCGATCCTGCAGGTCGCCGGGACTGCCATTTAAACACGATCCTGACGCGCCGTCGGGAATCGAACATCGCCGATTCCGACGGGCCCGGCCGCCATGTTGGCCACTCGGCCGCCGACCAATCAGCCGCCGCGTTACCTGGGACGCGGCTGAAGTCGGCAGGCGACGACGGTGCTGAGGAAGCGAGAGAACGGTAGTCGCTGGAGTATTCGCGTTCGAGCATGTTCGGCACGTAGCTGCGGCATCTCTCCGTCGCCTCGACCGAGCGAGCGAGTGAGCGCCTGTCCCCGTCCCCGTCCCCGTGTATCTGTCATCGTCTCCTGGTGCGTGGGTAGCGCGTGTGGTCGACGTAATTTGTAAATAGGTAAGTAACCTGTGCGTAACCGCGACCACTCGGACGCACGTATGTGCGTGTGCGTACGTACGTTGCGTGTCGCGTCGATCGGTTCGCGATCGGGCCGACACGGAGCGTTGCTTTCGCGTCGGGACGTGCAGCCCCGCGATCCCGAGCGAGCCGTGGCCCCGCGGCTCTCGTCACCACCATCCGCGGCCGTCGTCATCGTCGTTATCGTCGACGTCGTCGCTGCACACGAACGGTGTCCGTGGCGACGCCGATGCGAATCGCGCGTCTCCCTCTCTCTCTTTCTCTTTCTGCTTCTCTCGCGCGCGCACCTGTTGCCGTATAGGAACGCGAACTAACGTACGTTCGTACGTACGTTCGTACGACCGTGCATGGCCGCGCTCTGCGTGCCTGAGCGACGAAGAGAGGCCTTACGGCGCGCGCCACGGCACGTAAGGCAGATAAAAATCGCGCTGACGAAAGGCGCATAAATACCGGCCGTTGCATACGCACTCGCTCGCTCGCTCGCTCGCTCGCTCTTTCGCTCTTTCGCCCTTTGGATCGCCACTTCGACGACCCGCGCCTCGCCGTTCTGGATCGCCGACGCGATCCGCGGGCCCAGCCGTGTCCGCCGCGCGCGCGCATAAACAAAAGTAAAACAGAACGCGCGGCGGAATCGTTCGGGGCGAGCTTCCCCGCGGCGAATCGCCAAGGCGAAACTGCTGCCGGCACAATTATCGTAACGGGGGCGAGAGAGAGAGAGAGAGAAAGAGAGAGAGAGATATATATATATTTATAATTAAATATATATATATATATAATGAGGTGCTGCCTTGAGAATCCGTACGGCTGCGAATCGCGACTAAGCGCGGGATTAAGGTGATCCTCTCGCGCCGTGCGCGCCGACGGCTGCCGTTTGCGCGGCGTAAATAACACACGGCCGCGTGAAATTGCGCGTCCGATGAAAGGCGATTTGCGATATCTCGCGGGGACTCGTCGCCTAATCTCGCGTCGATATCTGTCTCTCGGCGGCGAGGCCGGGCGTTGTTGTGGTGTTGCTCTTGTCCAAATCTGATCCGACGGTGAACACCGTCGCGGAGGAATCCCAGCTCTTCGACCTGCGAGATCTGTGTGAGATAAGCCGACGAAATTGCGCGGCGGAGTCGTCTCTGACTTGAGAAATTTTGCAGCGAACAATGTTTCTCTCTCTCTCTCTCTCTCTCGTGCTCGGAATTTTCCTGCAGTTCAAGGACTCGCGGCGGTCGCGCAGACATATTTCGTAAACTGTGCAACGAGAGAGACGCGCTGCTTGGACGTGTTCGATTCCTCTTTCTTTCGGTTTTTTTGTTCCCGCGCGTAGTTTTTGTTTTTTTGTTTTTTTTTGTTTACACGCGAGGCCGCGTTTCCATCGAAAGAGCTCGTCGAGCGGATTATTACGGCGGCGCGTTCCTCGCGCGGCGGAACGAGCGATTCAGCGTGCGACGTGAACGGCGCGGGACGCGACTCTTGCATTTCCGGCGACACCGGAACAGGCTTCAGGGTCGCCAGCGCCGTTGACGGGCGCGATGAGCTAATTAGGTAACAATGAAGGATCGAAGCGGCGCCGTCAGACAGTTGCAGCGGGAAAAAGCTCGTAATTGGCTGACTCGCCTTGTGTCTTAATTGTCGAATAATTCATCGTATCTGGATCGCGTCGCGATTTCTCCCGGCGCGAGTCTTCTCCAACGCGCCGGCGGCGGCGCATCTCTCCTCCGAACTCCGCGCAAACCGCCGAAACCGTTACCGCAGCGCGCCTCTCCTCTCGCCGTTTTTCCTCTTGCTCTTTCTCGTCTTATCGGAAAACACCGAACGAACGATCTCCGCCGCTTCGCCGTGGCTATTGTGCCGTATCGTTTCGCTAATTCTTATCGGACCGTCATTATCGCGATCCGATGAATCACCACCGATCGCCGACCTTTGATCGTTCCGCTCGTCCGCTCGTCTATCGCGCGATTGTAACGCGCGTAATCTCTCACGGTCGTGTCTGCACTGTCATCCGCCGTGTTGAAATCACTTTTGTGGATTCGTCTCGTCCACCTGTGTCTGCGTTTCTCCACGATCTTAACCCGTAAAGGCGTTATACCACTAGGCTATACTTTTCATCTAATATTCAATAATATTGAAACATTTAATATTGCATTTGTTTGACTCTTACTTCTGAAATAAGAATATATACCGGGATGACATCTCGCTCATGACAGCATTAACGTGATTTTCTCCAGTGAGTAGCTTTTAGGATTAATATTTTGTCACCCAGAAAACGGTCAGCAGAATATGAGAGAGAGAGAGAGAGAGAGAGAGAGAGAGAGAGAGAGAGAGGGAGAGAGAGAGAGAGGGAGAGAGAGATTTTACGGGGTGCTCGAAAGTCTCTTGCACGTTGACGGCGTAAATTATTTTTCGCATGGCTTAAATATACCGCTGCGTTTTTTTCTCTTTCCATTTGTTTCTCCGATATGCGATTGGACGACAAGCGCTCGATAAAATGAAGCCTCTGAATTTTTTCGCTACTTCATTTATTCCTTAGTCGGAAGCCGGCATTGTCATTGTCGCAGCAGACATCGAACTGTGCAGACTGTGTAGTTTCTTCCGGAGTGATTCTTTCCCTTTTGAACATATCATGAAGAAACAACCGAAATATTCGTTTACGTCTAAATTATCGATAAGCAATTGCTTATAATTCTCACTATTGAAAACTTTTGCGGATTAAAATCCTGCTAATCGGGTGAGGAAAACTGCCCACCCATCTCGATAACTCCTGCGGAAACTCACCCAAATATGGGGGTGAGCGATCAACGCGCCAGAGAGTCTTATAATCACCCGGGACTAAACTGTCGTGACGAGAACGAATCACTGCGCTGCCAACGACTATAAACCACCGACGCGACCTTTTCTTCTTTTCCATACGCGAGCGCTCTCTTCTCGAAGTGCAACGCGTGCGGTAGGTCGCGCGTCACGTGCCGAAGGTCCGATCGCCGCGGAGATGCGGACGGCGACGTGTCGTGGAAAAAGGGAAACAGAAACAAAATGAGTAAAAAGGATATCGGTAGCCGCGCGCGCGTACCGTCTCCTTTCATTGAACGAGCGAGACCGGACACAGGTTGTAAGTCCTGCCGAGCCGTCGTTCGTAAGGCGAGAAGAGTAGTAAACATTTCCAGCCACCCCCTTCCCCCTCCCCCCATTACAGCGTCCCTCTCCCCGCCCGTGACATTTGCAAGCCGCATTCCTGCGCCGCGCCGCGCCGCGCCGCGCCGCGTCGGCTGCATTGTTCGTCATTAATCGGCGACGACCGGCGTGATCCGCGCGCGACGCTCGATTCCTCCTGCGGCGAAGAGGCTCTCGCTTATCTCGTCGTCGTTATCGAGTCGCGCGAATCGTCTTTACGTGTATCGTGCGTGCACGCGTGTTTACACTCGCACACTGTCTTCGTCATATCGTCGTCCTGGCCGTCGAGGTCGGTCGGGTCAAAATCGCGCAGCCAGCGATAACCGCCTCACCTTTGCACCCTGAGGAGACGCCGGTGCGACCTCCCTTTTTCTCTCTCTCTCTCTCTCTCTCTCTCTCTCTCTCTCTCTCGACCAAGCACCTGAGCGACGGCCGTCGTCGTCTTCTCGCATCCTACTCTCTCGAACGACACCTGTAATTCACGCCCACCGAATGCCTACGTGATCTCCCACGTGAGAGCAGCGTCGTGACACAGATCGCGGATGCCCATTGACCTCGTATGGACGATGGCGCGGCGGTTAGCCGAGAGAGAGAGAGAGAGAGAGAGAGAGAGAGAGAGAGAGAGAGAGAGAGAGAGAGAGAGAGAGAGAGAGACGATCGATGACGATCCTCCTGCGAGGATCGCCGCAGCGCGTAGCGCGCGATCTCGGCTGCACCGAGATGTTTACTTTCGGCTGTAGGCATGTCCGGTCAAGGATGTCGTCGACCAGACCTCGGCAGAGTTCGTTTCCGCGCTGAGCTTTCGTGCTGAGATCGTCGATCCGTCGCTTCATCGCTCCTTACCGAGCTGGAGGAGAGATCGAGTGCTCCGCGCGCCGCGCTTTCAGCGCGAAGGTCTCTCTCGCGAAGTTTTCTACAAGTCGATTCTTTCCAATGTCCGCCGCCTCGCGCGTCAATTCCTCATCAAACGAATCGTCATTGACGAAGTAAGGTAAATGTCCCAGTGGCCGGTATCCGTCCCAGTATCCGACTTTGAAAGCAAATATTTACTATTTATTTTAACACTAATGAATGAAAGTGATAATTACTAAGTAAGGACTCCAATATTTGACGATTAGTTGGAAAAAAATATTAATTCATTACCTCATTACTTGTGTAAATATTATCATTAACAATAGGTGTACACATTGGTTTAAATCGTTTTTCTCTACTTAAGGGAGTCCTAAGAACCTCGGAATAAATGCAAATATTTACATCAAAAATATTTTTAATATTATATATCGTATTTTTTGCGACGAGCTACGCTTAACCCTTTAACGCCCGACTTTTTTATAAGTGTTTTAAGAATAAAATTTGAGTCTTTTTGAACTGAGACTATAAGTAGTGATAACAAAAAAAAATATTAGAATTTTATATTGGTTTTTTTTTATCGTTTGTTTTTTGTTTACTGGTAAATATGACTTGGATCCTAAATACGAAATGAGCAACCTGTACAGAGAAAAATGAAGGATAATCTATACGACATAACTCTGATAGTCAACTTGACATTTTTTTCAGCTGAAACTTTACTATATTTGTGAGTGAAGTTTATTATTCAGAGCGTCAAGCTTACTATTTCAGAAGAATATCTTATAGATCACCATTTAGATAGCCAATCGTCCCTTCATTTTTGTAGGTTACCAAGTTTCACGAAAATAGGTTGATTTCTTCATTTTCGTGTCCACCATATTGGATTTTTTGAATTTCTGTATTCTTTTAATTTCACATTTTGCACCTGAGAAAGCTTCCAAATGTATAAAATTCTAACAGATACCAATCTATTC